TAGTAAATACATTTCTGTATTACACCCTGCTAATTGACATTACAGATTTATTAGGAATGAGAGAATAAGGACTATATACGGTCGATAAACATATACATATATATATATATATATGTTGTATTAGTACTTTCAAGTAACCAGTGTCTAAACATTACAAAACATACTGTACAACACAGATCAACACGTGTCAACAATATACTAAACACTTTCCTTCTACTTTATATTATAGGTAGAAAGTTTTCTTCTTCACTTTTGGCAAGGTATGCCAGATCACCTTATTAGTCTATTAGATACGTCAATAATCTCTGACGTCATCGCTTTATGTGACTCTATTTTATACAAGGTAAGATCTCATTGGTCAACTTTATAATCGCGACGTCAGAACTACGTACAGTGGTTTGGTCTATTACAAGGCAGCTACCTGTATTTGATGGTGAAACACAATATTGAAAAATAGTTTTGATCGAATTAATGAGTGACAATGTCTTATGACAATTGAATTATCTAACTAGAATTAAAATACACCATGCAGTTTGATAGAGAAAGAGTCTTTGGGTATGGTAGGCTTTGATGGCCCTCAAGAAATTTATTTTCGCACGTAGTTTTATGGATCGCTTTTAGTTTTGAATTTACGTAGTTTTTGATTAACATCGAATTGATAAGCAGAGCAGTCTCTGCATATGATATACTCAAGAAAGCAACATTTACAGCGAGTTTTCTAATAATTTATTGGGAAAAGATCGGACCCAGGTTTCGGATTTGAAGGGGTGTAATGGAATGAAAACGTCATAGTGTATATAGTTTATATTTTAGGTTTTAGTCGATGTTCTTATTCCATCAACAATACAAGATATGCCAGAAAGGTAAACTATCGTCCATTTTATACAATATATTATTATTATTGATCAGATGTAACAGTGTATTTATTATAGTATCTATTGATCAGGTTTAATTGTTTAATTATTTTATTTATTTATTTCAGTCTAGGAACTGAAATAGAAAGTTTCATCAGACATTTACCAATGTGGTTGGAAATCTCTCTAGAAGATACGCCATGTCACATTCAAACAGTTAAATTACAAGGTACGTATAGTAGTCGGTAATCATCGGTTATTTCCGTAATATGATAGAAATCTCTCTAGAACATACGCCATGTCACATTCAAACAGTTAAATTACAAGGTACGTGGGGGGTTGGATGGCTGAATGGTTAGCGTGCGCGCGCTGTATCATAAAGTCTGTCATTGAGTCGACTGGCGTGGTTTCGAATCCCCGGTTGTACGTGACAAGGAGTAGGGTCGCCTGTCCAACCTCGTGGGTTTTCTCCGGGTCCTCCGGTTTCCTCCCACTGCTAAAGACCCCTACGCGCAAGCGAATTATTGAAATAAAATTAAACCATATGTTAGTCCCGAAATGACCTAGTTTGTGTCGAGTGGACGTTAAACCCCATTTCTCTCTCTCTCTCTCTACAAGGTACGTATAGTAGTCGGTAATCATCGGTTATTTCCGTAATATGATAGAAATCTCTCTAGAACATACGCCATGTCACATACAAACAGTTAAATTACAAGGTACGTATAGCAGTCGGTAATCATCGGTTATTTCCGTAATATGATAGAAATCTCTCTAGAAGATACGCCATGTCACATTCAAATAGTTAAATTGCAAGGTGCGTATAGCAGTCGGTAATCATCGGTTATTTCCGTAATATGATAGAAATCTCTCTAGAAGATACGCCATGTCACATTCAAATAGTTAAATTGCAAGGTGCGTATAGCAGTCGGTAATCATCGGTTATTTCAGTAACATGGTAGAAATCTCTCTAGAAGATACGCCATGTCACATTCAAATAGTTAAATTGCAAGGTGCGTATAGCAGTCGGTAATCATCGGTTATTTCCGTAACATGGTAGAAATTTCTCTAGAAACCGTTGAATTACACGGTAGGTATAAATAGCAGTCAGTAACAATCGGTTATTTACGTAATGTGATGAATATACCACGGATTTATTGGAACGAAAGGGGTAAACTTTATTACATTCAGCTACGGTTTAAAAAATCAGGTTAGATTTTAGTCCACAAGAAACGCAGTGACACCAATACGGATCTTGAGACCACGGGACCTATTTGAACCGAGACCTGACAGGAAACTCCCAAGTTTTATTTATGACAAGGCAAAGGGCAATTTGTGATCTTGAAAATAGTCCTGCGATATTTCATTACGACTGTTTATATATCATCCAAAACATAGTTTGTTTTTGATTTCTGGACAACGACTAGTAATTACTTCCCCTGATCTTATGTAGTGCCTCTATTTATAGTACGCCCCCTCCCTTCCCTTTCATTACATTTGTCGTTGGTGTTTTACTGTAAAATTGAAGAAAAATGTTCGAATGGACAATTTCCACTAGGTTTTGATGAATATTTGTGATCAGGCAGAAAGCAGACATGATTTACGAAAATCGCATATTAAAATGACGTCGCCGCCTATAAATTCCTTTGACCATTCTTAGCGAAAAGTCGGAACGATCAACCGCTTTCAATATTAGTATCACGTGATTGTCATTTATCGGGCAATTTGTGGTTATGAATTTAACATTGAATTACTAGTCTGAATCCTAATGGTAAAACCCGATTACCTCCCTTTTCCTATGATATTCAAATCCTTTTCATTCGTCGCCCCTAACGCTTGACAATTAGCTTGTAGTCCGAAATACTCGGTTCTGGTTTTCAGCGATCTTTTTGTTTTTCAAAGTACTGACAGATTTTTTAAGCATTTAAATACCATGCCTTCATTCTCACAAATTCTTGATACTGTCGGCTATATCTCCAAATTGTTGTGAATATATTCTTATATTTATTTTGTAGTGTCTAGAAGTTTTATACAGAGTGTAAAACGTCAGTTATCATTTGTTCATTTGGCACAGGTAGGTTAGATTAGGTACAATACATTTACGGATCTAGATGAAGAGAGTTCCTAGGGTATGCCCCCCCCCCAACCCATTATGCCCCCCCACCCATTATCCCCCCACCCTCACTACTAAGGGTAGATTAAAGTATGTTTTATTAAACACAACTGAACCAACCTGGAGATAATCACGGATGTTAAAGACTTATAACAGTGTTAAAAGGTCATAGACTTTAGCCTGCTAAGTCTATAGTTAAATCTAGATGTTGAGACCCTAGTCGTCAGCCTACCAAGTGTTCAGCCTATCCAGCACTTGTTTCATTTAACACAGACATATGTGACCATATAAGGTCATTACTCTCTACCCCGTTTATAAACAAAGATTATAGTGTACACTTGTATTAAATGGGTGTATTTTTATATTAAAGACAGCTCGAAGTGTTTTAACCAACCTAGAAACTATCACCAACATGGTGGACGATCTTACAGACGTCGATTTAAAGGAGATTTCAGATCAAGCTGCTTTTGTCCAACCAGCAGATGACAAACAGAGGGAAGTTATCTTTGATTGTAAGTGCTAAGCTATTCCTAAATTACAGACTGAGTTTGCACGTTAAGCTGTTGATTCCAATGTAATCCCCCCTACTCAATGTCCAGTTAACATCGCCATTCAGATCAAAACTAGGCATAACATAAAGTTTGTATTTATATGAAAGTATGATCCGTAAAGTCGTTATTAAATAATAGAGAAGTAGTTATATCTATATATACCATGTGTTATTGAATAACAGAGAAGTAGTTATATATCTATATATACCATGTGTTAGTCAATAATAGAGAAGTAGTTATATCTATATATACCATGTGTTATTGAATAACAGAGAAGTAGTTAAAGTGTGGCACGACGATGAGTGCATACGTTATGTAGTGTCTAATGAAGATGAGTATATGAGTATATACGCCATGTAATGTGCCATTAAGACGAGTATATACGTCATGTAGTGTGTTATGAAGAAACTGTTGTTTGTACAGTGGTTCTACGACCTACTCATCATATATAATCAATGTTAACGTCCTGCTCACTGAGACACCACGGCTTCCAATCAAAATAGAAGATTGTGTGTTTACTTTATTATCATATATTTCCATTTCAGCATTTGAAGAATTTCAAAATTTACTCAACAAACAGGCTACTGTGGAAAGTTTTACAGAATGGATGGATGAATTAATAGAACGATGTGTTCTCCAGGTGGGGTTATTCGAGCGAAATAAAATTAGGCTGTCGCGCCAACTGTCCTGGTAAAAGTTATCTCTTAGCACATTAAGTGACGTATACCCGTCTTCATTATCCTCGTGTGTTACCCCCTTTCCCGATTGGCTAACCTGGAGATTCGATCCCTTCCTTTGGCGTTGTTTTCCCTTGTCAGTGGTGCAGCACAGAGAGCCTGGCAAATAACGTATAGTCGTTCGGTGGGACGAAAAACCGAGATTCCGTGTACACTCGTCACTTCAGTCAGTTATATAGAGGGATAACTCATGTTTTCCTTTTGCGTTCGTCACTTCCGATTGTTGAAGCATTGATTACGCATCTATCGTAGCAATGATCTCTGTGTTAAAATTATATTTGGAACGTGTTTAACCAGTTCTATCACATATGTGATAATGACTGACACCAATATTGTCCTTTAAACATGATTTCATTGTTTACATATTACGGATAGGTGTCCGCTTGGTATCATAATCCGACTCAAATCGACAAAGATGCAACACACGTTCAATTAGAATATAGATGTATTTTAATCAAACTTCCGGTTCTTTGACTATCTTTATTTATATTGAAACTAGGCAACCTAACATCGCCATACAGCAAACATTTAGCTTAGTTTTACAGTGGCACATTACTGCTATAATAGCCTTGTTTTACAGTGACGATATTCAATATACAGGTTAACACAGAGCTCATTACTGCTATAATAGAAATATAAAATATAAAAAATGTTGACGGTTTCCTATCTCACGGCTATTTATTGAAAATCGATTTGTACTGAAAAGGATCAAATTAAAATTTCATCTAACCAACGCTTCATTAACTCACATTAATTTGAAAACATTCAATACACCGGAAATTACTTAACAATTTTTGGATATATTTTTATATACAAATTCTATTTTTTGCAGTTTCCTACAAAACAAAATGGCGGCTTCCATGAGAGCAAAGCAGCTGACTTCCTGTTACAATGGTCGCTGATTGGTTCGTTAATAATGAGAGATTTAACTTTACACAGCGCTTCTAGCTTTGGTAAATATTGGATGGGATCTGAAAAACTCTGAATACGTCACATCCTGTAATAGATATTGACTCTAGCACAGGTCTATAATTGATTCCTGTTTTTGTTCAATGTTGGTTCAAAACATTTAAAAGTCTTACTATTTAACTGAATTGCAATTAATAAAAACACATATAAAACCATAGAAATATCATGAAATATTTCAGGATATAAATAAACTCTTTCTCGTAGATAAACTGAAATCACATTCTAATAATAGACATTTGTTCTTCTAACGACTTTGTTTAGGAAAATGTAACTTTGGTGGCTTCTCACACACTTTGGATAAATATTTGTGCGAAAATACTCATTCTCAAATGTTAAAAAAATATATATATCGTTCCAGTAAGCACTTACGTTGATACCACAATATCCATTGAAGGGTTAGAGAAATGTAGCGAGGGAGCACGGGGTAAAGACAGACATTATTTCCAATGACAGTGTTAAATTAAAATTTATATTTAATTTCAATGAAAAGTTTATTGCATCTGTTTTCATATTTAAAACGTTTCACAGCACGTGAGTATTGTTCAGTTTTGTGGTGGTGGAGGACATATTTCTCAAAACGTGAGTCTTGTACTTAGACCGATTGTTTAGGGGGTGTATGATTTTTAAGCCGATGGACGACTCTGGTTATTTATTGTGTTTTGTTTTATTACTAGGATCCATCTATTACACGTGATGTTTTATTTCTAGCATCCTTCAGGTGATGTTTTATTTTTAGGGTCCGTCCATCTATTACACGTGATCTTTTATTTCTAGCATCCTTCAGGTGATGTTTTATTTTTAGGGTCCGTCCATCTATTACACGTGATGTTTTATTTCTAGGATCATTCCATCTATTACACGTGATGTTTTATTTCTAGGATCCAGCCATCTATTACACGTGATGTTTTATTTCTAGGATCCAGCCATCTATTACACGTGATGTTTTATTTCTAGGATCCTTCCATCTATTACACGTGATGTTTTATTTCTAGGATCCAGCCATCTATTACACGTGATGTTTTATTTCTAGGATCCTTCAGGTGATGTTTTATTTCTAGGATCCAGCCATCTATTACACGTGATGTTTTATTTCTAGGACCATTCCATCTATTACACGTGATGTTTTATTTCTAGGATCCAGCCATCTATTACACGTGATGTTTTATTTCTAGGATCCAGCCATCTATTACACGAGATGTTTTATTTCTAGGATCCAGCCATCTATTACACGTGATGTTTTATTTCTAGGATCCAGCCATCTATTACACGTGATGTTTCATTTCTAGGATCATTCCATCTATTACACGTGATGTTTTATTTCTAGGATCCAGCCATCTATTACACGTGATGTTTTATTTCTAGCATCCAGCCATCTATTACACGTGATGTTTTATTTCTAGCATCCAGCCATCTATTACACGTGATGTTTTATTTCTAGCATCCTTCAGGTGATGTTTTATTTTTAGGATCCTTCGGGTGATGTTTTATTTCTAGCATCCTTCAGGTGATGTTTTAATTCTAGCATCCTTCAGGTGATGTTTTATTTCTAGTATCCAGCCATCTATTACACGTGATGTTTTATTTCTAGCATCATTCCATCTATTACACGTGATGTTTTATTTCTAGGATCATTCCATCTATTACACGAGATGTTTTATTTCTAGGATCATTCCATCTATTACACATGATGTTGGACGAGTACACGTTCCTGGTTCTAGAAACACAGAATGAACTGATCCGAGAACACACTCTACAAACCAACTTACAGAAACACATGAAAACAACCGGTATGTTTACTTACTTCATCACACACATGAAAACAACCGGTAGTTTACTCACTTCATCTCACACAATTTGACATTTATATATATATTCAAAATGGAGACATATCGCCGGGACTTTTACTTGGCGATAAAATGGCATCTAAACCGTTCCATGTTTGTCTGAAAGATAAAATCTATATGTATTATTAATAATATCATGATAAATATCTATATGTATTGTGAAGTTTATTATTATACCCACACATCTTTAAACTTTCTATAATATAAAATATTCCCGATTGCTATTGATTTATTGACATCTACTGTCAATTTCATCCTAATAAACTGTTCCTGATAACCAGAGTAGATTGATGGTTTATATTGAATTGTGTAGATAATAACAATTATTAAATGTTCGTGTTGTTAGATATTCCTTCTGATTATAATACAATACATGTTCATTCCACCCTCAATGATTATAATACAATACATGTTCATTCCACCGTCAATGATTATAATACAATACATGTTCATTCCACCCTTAATGATTATAATACAATACATGTTCATTCCACCCTCAATGGATATCATCAAATATATTCCTACTTTGTTTTACAGAAACAATCAAGATGGTTTCCAGGGTTAGGGCGGGTAGCCAATCAAATTCTTCACCTAAAGTTAAAAAGAGAAAGATGGATACACGAGGTATGTTTCTGATCAATATACAAATATAAAATACTGAACCATCCACACCATAGTGACGTCATAGAGATGTAAGCACGTTAAATGGCGTCAAGCGGTGGCATAGAGATGCTCTGGTTTCAACATGCAAAAGGAAAAGGGAGAAATAAAGAATAGCGCGCAATGACACAGCAGAAAATCTCCCAGTGCACGCGCTTTCCACACAGTGTTTCAACAAGGACAGGGTTTACGTAATACAGTGTTTGCTTTTCTCAGGGCGCTGGCATTCCACGCTCCGCCATTGGCAGAAAGCATACCATGTTTTGCGCATAGCACGCATCATAACTATGTTTCACTGCGACAGAAATAGATGTTAAGAAAATACATTTCCTTCTTTGTTTCAGTCCCTGATGACGTGACTTCCTCTCTAGAACTGCCTAAAGACTGTGAATCACATGAAGACACCGGTACATCCGACCACGGCATGTTTATTCATCCTATACCAAGCCATAGAGATGTACCTTATTGTTATTCTACAAATTATTATTCTCCAAGACATTATCAAAGTTTTAATAATGGTGTCTTTGAGAGACCTTACCTGCCCCAGTTTGGTGTCAGCCATACTTACTCTGATTACATAAACAATAGTTCCTCTTTCTCATCTCAAAGATTATCGTCTGCTTATCATCAAGAACCTCATTCTTATCACGGACATAATTACACGTCATATCCTGCCCTAGCGAGAAGTATATCGCCTGTCACGTCATCATATTGGCCACTGACTGATAGCAGACCATTTCCGGTTCCGGTAGTACCGGAGTCAATAAATGAGTATAGTTATGGAAGCGGCCATGATGGATATAAGAAATCGAGTTATACCAGAAGTGGAATATATCCCGAGTCAGGTAATTAGATAAATAATATGTAACAGGCCTTGCCTGAGTAGAGCGAAGCTGGTGTGATTGTTGTCAAATAAAACCTTCATAATAAAGTTTCCCCAATTGAAAAAAGAACAAAAAGGTGTGAGGATTTTCATTGACGTCAAAATTATCTGACGTCATTTATTCCTCGCGTCATAGAAATATTTCTTAGAGACCCAAAATCTCGCTTGGGCGAGATTTGGTAAGTTGACATGCGCTGACATGCGCATTGACAGACATGCGCATTGCCTGTTTTCCCCAGTGTATCCGGTTCCTGTCTGAATTTTTTTTTAATCAACAGTCTGTGGGTGACATTTTCAATTACGCTCCTGTGTTACCGGAAAAGAGCTTTGCTCAAGCACCGCGCTTCGCGCGATGCTTTAGAGCTTCGCTCTATGTTAAAATATTTATAGATATGGTTACGTTCTTTAGTCAAAATTAAATGTCTTTTTTGCTGAAGAATTAACTGTACTGTTGTTTATTCCCTGCCTCCACCGAGATCTTCTCGGTAGAACAAAACATGGGACGAAAAGTCGAACACATGAATACAATGAATTCTACACCGATTGTGATAACGAAAACTGTGTGCAATCATGGAAATTTTGATCTGACAACAATTGAATTACAATTGTTGATGGTTCTTTGACGTGCACGCCAACCTGTACACGGGACCGCAATATTTGTTAACAATCGGAAGGACTAGACTGGATGTTTTACGTTACCAGTCCTGTAACTCTGACAAGAGGAGGCCTCACCGGTAAATCACAGGGGAACTTTCACCGCCAATTCTGTGATCGAACCCCGGCCATCCTAGTTAGTAAGACGACGCCTTACACAATTAGCCACTGCGGCTCATAAAACGAATTAAATACAAAAACCCGCAAAACTATTACTATGACGTAAACTGGTCACCTGATTACGGTCTGATGTTCTTCTGTTTCCCGTTTGTCGAACTGACGTTTATTTTGAAAGGTTAACAAGTATAAAATAATTCTAAATGACGTCCACGTAGCACCATATTATTCTGGTATTGTTATAGGTCTATTTATGTCGAGATGAATACAGACATATTTGTATTATCTCTCTATCTTTCTGTTGTTGTAATTACTAATTTATATAATATATTGTTGTTGTAATTAATACACTGACGTGTACGATTATAGACGTGTTAATATTCATATATACAAGAGAAATTGCACCCACATGACACAATTATTGTTGTTTTTAATGGTTTGCCCACAACTAGGTTACCACCCACATCACCCAGTTATTGTGGTTTTTAATCGTTTGTCCACGTGTAGGTTACTACCTTTGATAAATCTAGTCAAGCCACGAATCAATTATTTTGATAAGGTAAATGAAATGTTCCAACATAAGAATCCACATAGAAGAAACAAACAAGCCAGCGTCACCTATATTTGGTGAATTCGTTTTACGGTCCTCCTATAAATCCTATTGAATCCAGGCAGGCGGGTTATCTACAGTTGATATTCTGGTTTTATTTTCTTAATTGAATATTAAATAATCAACTTTAACACTTTTTAACATAGATTACATATATATCAGTATATTACCATAGATATACCCTGAACAATATATATATATATATATATATACCCTGAACAATACATATAACCATCAGCGACTTGAACAACTCGTATCTTTAAGAGAGGTTTCTGAAAACAGTTTTTGCCAATTAGCTCAAACTCGAACAACGCCCTTACATTCTTTGTCAATCTTTTTCTTTGAAAACCTAAACCCCAGTAAAGTTTTGTAAACACGTTCTGTTTCTAATTTCTCTCGTCTTGTTTTTCAGTGGAATCAAGTTTTCCTGTTTCTGCCTTCAGCTCGTCTGTTGATTCAAGTCAATATGTATATGATCGGCCATTGTATCAAGATGAATGCTACTCAACCAATATGTCGTTAAGTCGTCCAGGCTATAAACACTACTTCACACAGAATACAGGATAAATAGAACAATTAATCTATAACAACTTGTAGTCGAGTCGTCCAGCCTATAAACACAGAATACCAGATAAATAGAACACTTAATCTAATAAAATTTACTATAACAAATTGACATGTCTACTTAAAGAGAACTCATGATTTTATAACATTTTCTCTGCTTTATAAATTAGACAAAGAGAGATGGGGATTAACGTCCACTCGACACAAACTAGGCCATTTCGGGACTAACATAAGGTTCAGTTTTATTTCACTCTTTCGCTTGCGCGTCGGGGTCTTTAGCAATGAGGAGCAACCAGAGGACCCAGAGAAAACCCACGAGGTTAGACAGTCGACCCTACTCCTTGTCACGTACAATCGGGGATTCGAAACCACGCCACTTGACTCAATGACACTTTCTACCACAGAATCATCTTGCACAAAAGTTTGTATTAGGTTCACCATGGAAAGTGGCTAACACGTAAACCCTAACCCTAACCCTAGTCTGCCCAGCATTTCAACCTAACCAATATCCTAAGTCTCGTATCCTTCCGCCTTAAAATTATGAATATCCACTAAAACATTGTAGAAAATGTATATTTAAAGCCATTTCGTCGATTCTACACCCAAACATCAACAACAATGGCCATGCAACATACAGTTCTGTATAAAGATTGTTTCATAATAGCGCGGTCAGGGCACTGGACTAGACAGTCAGAGGTTTGCCCCCCCCCACCCCAATTGTTCAAGCATGACCTTCATATGTCAGTCTATCTAGCTGTGCGAATCGGACAACAATTCTAGTTTCTCTCGTCGACGTAAATAAACCTCATAACATTGGACATAAAACGAGGTGAAATAAAATGGGGTCTGCACAAACTGGGCTAATGAAGACGGGCATACGTCATGCAGTGTGATATGGGTATTCTGCTTCCATTTGTCCAGGGTACTTTTCTTCCTATCAGATCGACTAGACATTGATGCTTGCTAATCCCGTCTCCCCACACCACTGTCGGGATCTACACCTGACCCAAACTGGCTATTGTGGCAGCGCCTTACACACTGATCCACTGTGGTCCAACTACATATAGACCATTCGTTAATAGAGATAATATATATATTATTCTCTCTGTTCCACTGTGGCCCCACTACATAAACACCACTAGTTAATATAGATGATATCTATATTGTTCTCACTGATCTACTGTGGCCCCACTACATATAGACCACTAGTTGATATAGATAATATATATATTATTCTAACTGATCCACTGTGGCCTCACTACATATAGACCACTAGTTGATATAGATAATATCTATATTATTCTAACTGATCCACTGTGGCCTCACTACATATAGACCACTAGTTGATATAGATAATATCTATATTATTCTAACTGATCCACTGTGGCCTCACTACATATAGACCACTAGTTGATATAGATAATATCTATATTATTCTAACTGATCCACTGTGGCCTCACTACATATAGACCACTAGTTGATATAGATAATATCTATATTATTCTAACTGATCCACTGTGGCCTCACTACATATAGACCACTAGTTGATATAGATAATATCTATATTATTCTAACTGATCCACTGTGGCCTCACTACATATAGACCACTAGTTGATATAGATAATATCTATATTATTCTAACTGATCCACTGTGGCCTCACTACATATAGACCACTAGTTGATATAGATAATATCTATATTATTCTAACTGATCCACTGTGGCCTCACTACATATAGACCACTAGTTGATATAGATAATATCTATATTATTCTAACTGATCCACTGTGGCCTCACTACATATAGACCACTAGTTGATATAGATAATATCTATATTATTCTAACTGATCCACTGTGGCCTCACTACATATAGACCACTAGTTGATATAGATGATATCTATATTGTTCTCACTGATCTACTGTGGCCCCACTACATATAGACCACTAGTTGATATAGATAATATATATATTATTCTAACTGATCCACTGTGGCCTCACTACATATAGACCACTAGTTGATATAGATAATATATATATTATTCTAACTGATCCACTGTGGCCTCACTACATATAGACCACTAGTTGATATAGATAATATCTATATTATTCTAACTGATCCACTGTGGCCTCACTACATATAGACCACTAGTTGATATAGATGATATCTATATTGTTCTCACTGATCTACTGTGGCCCCACTACATATAGACCACTAGTTGATATAGATAATATATATATTATTCTAACTGATCCACTGTGGCCTCACTACATATAGACCACTAGTTGATATAGATAATATATATATTATTCTAACTGATCCACTGTGGCCTCACTACATATAGACCACTATTTATCTTTGGTTGGTATTTAACTACATGTATCAAGGAACACATTAAATAGAACACAAGTTTGGAAAATAATCATGGATTTTTATGGGAAACAATCACAAGATAAAGATCGAAACACCATTCACTTTATATCTGGATGATAGGGACGTTAAACACCAGTCCCTTTAAGTCTGGGTGTTAGATACTTTAAACACTATCCCCTTTAAGTCTGGGTTATAGAGACGTTAAACACCATCCCCTTTATGTCTGGATGATAGAGACGTTAAACCCCATTCCCCTTTTGTCTGGATGACAGAGACGTTATACACCAGCTCCTTTAAGTCTGGATGATAGAGCATGTGTCATATATATAGGCTATCTAAAGAGTAAAGTTGAAACGTTGGTATGAAGTAATACTTGAAGCCAGAAATAACAGAATATTGGGTAACAAATATGGTCTCTATGACGTCATATATTCGCATTGCATTTAAAGTAACGACTCGTGTTTGCATTTTTAAGAAAATATCAAATGTCTCACGGATTTCACCATGTTAATATGTACCCAGGTTGATTACCCCATGTTGATATGTACCCAGGCTGATTTCGCCATGTTAATATGTACCCAGGTTGATTACCCCATGTTAATATGTATCCTGACTGATTTTCCATTTTGGGTGGTTTCAATTTGTTAATGTTGTAGCATGTAGGATTTGGTAACAACAAAAGGACGTAAAAGAACCCTTGGTCATCTTCCACATAGAATAAAAAAAAATAATATCCATTTGATACAGTCGTCGTGAATCTCCGGTAATTTCCGTCAAGTTCAGATCATCGTGGGTGACCAATTAACCTAGACCATGACTGTAATTTCAACCAATCATGTACAGTGGATATTATTCCGCTCAACTGAAATCTCGTTAATCGAATACACGTGACTGACACGTACATGGAGGGGTTAATACACGTACATGTGTTATGTTCAGATAATCTATGCTGAAAGGGTACATGTGGTAAGTTCAGATGTTATCTGTATTTATTGCGATGTGGGGGAGTTAGCCAAGATACATCACATCATGATATTTGTTTAGTTCTAGATGGTATATGAAGAATCTATAGGTGATATCTCGATTGTTTAATAGATTGCTTCCCCGATTGTTGAATGAAATTAGTTGGCAAGTTCATGAAGATAAACCGTGTTTCAACAAGTCGTTATCATATGGTTGATAATTTGATGAAGACGTGATGGATCAATCAAAATGTATTGATTTATAAAATTACACCTTATCAATCATAAGGTAGGTTGACATATTACATTCTAGCCATTTCACACAGCCATCATATATCATATATTGTTTGTCCTTAGAATGACATGGTTATTGCCCACGAACATCGACGCCAATACAGTATCTAACATAATATATTGTTTGTTTTCATTAATAATAGGTTGTTAACCAAGAACATCAACGTCAAGACGATATATAACCTATTATTGTGATAAGGAAATGGTTATTGCCAGTAGATATGTGATATGAAACAGTATATTGTATATATATTATAATATATGGAGTAGCAGATAAGCAGAGTAGCAGGTGGGTAATTAAACTTTTAGAGAAATACTTAACATATACATTATATAAGATTTAGATAAAGAGCTGGTGTCGTTCTTGTTATATTAATAGTTTAGAATAGATTATTTTAAAATGAATATATTGAAGGAAATTTCATTCAAATGACTTTATTTCTGAGCGGGGTTATCACTGTTGTGACAAGATGTGACATAGATTCACCTTCTAAAAATTAATTATATCATCAATCCGTTTATACCTCCAGCATCTGAGGATCTAGAGAGTGTAATTATAGCCTTGTAATGTGAATAAATGTCTAAATAATAATTGATATACCATTTGAAGCCAACAAAAGACCTGTAATAGACAGATTTTAGCTCTTACATAAAGGACATTAATATGATATTACTCTCAGTGTAACCAGATTGTGTTCAATGTAATCATGGCTGCAGTATATTATATAACACATGGTCAGGGTATATTATATAACACAAGGTCAGAGTATATTATATAACACATGGTCAGAGTATATTATATAACACATGGTCAGGGTATATTATATAACACATGGTCAGGGTATATTATATAACACATGATCAGAGTATATTATATAACACATGGTCAGAGTATATTATATAACACGTGGTGAGAGTATATTATAACACATGGTCAGGGTATATTATATAACACGTGGTCAGAGTATATTATATAACACATGGTCAGAGTATATTATATAACACGTGGTGAGAGTATATTATATAATACATGGTTAGAGTATATTATATAACACATGGTCAGAGTATACTATATAACACATGGTCAGAGTATATTATATAACACATAGTCAGGGTATATTATATAACACATGGCCATTGTATATTATATAACACAAGGTCGGAGTATATTGTATAACCCACGGTCAGAGTATATTATATAACACAAGGTCGGAGTATATTGTATAACACATGGTCAGAGTATATTATATAACACATGGTCACGGTATATTGTATAACACATGGTCAGTGTATATTGTGTAACACGTGGTCAGAGTATATTATATAACACATGGTCAGAGTATATTGTATAACACATGGTCAGGGTATATTGTATAACACATGATCAGAGTATATTGTATAACACATGGTCAGAGTATATTATATAACACATGATCAGAGTATATTATATAACACATGGTCAGAGTATATTATATAACACATGGTCAGAGTATATTATCCAAATCTTGTTACTAAAGGTGAGAGAAATGATATGAAATGTGTATGTAAAGTGATTTCTATTATTAGTGACTGTTAACGATTAGATATATGTATGTTAGGTGGTTTCTATTATTAGTGACTGTTAACGATTAGATATATCGACATAGATTTTGTCAAAACGTGGCTTTCACAGCGTAACCCCGTCTTCAGTATCCTAGTTGGTACAGACAAGTGGGACGTTAAACCCCATTTCATTCATCTATTGTATGATCGAGACTATTTGTAAGAGATGTAAACAAGACCAACTAATTGTATGATCGAGACTATCTGGAAGAGATTTAAACTAGGCCAGTTAATTATGTTGTGGTTAAAGCTCATTAACTGTCTGTGTTTTTATATAAAGTAATCTACACGTCGATATGATGAATTCTATTGTATTAATTATTTATTGTGTAATATATATATAATACTGATACCATGGTGATATAATAGACCCCCTATATATACACTGAATGATGTTCTAATATAAAACCACTTGTCTGAAACAATTTGATTACCACACCCAGATATAATTAATGAAAGTTGATATTAACAGTCGGCTAATACTTGACAAATGATACTGGAGTCCAAGTCTATCTTTAAAGAGAGAGAGAGGGACGCGATTTAACGTTCACGCAACACAAACTACGACATTTCGGGACTAACACTTTGTTCAATTTTATTTTAATAATTCGCTTGCCCATGGGTGGTTTAACTGGTGGGGGGGGGGTATTCCGGAGGACTGGGAGAAAACCCACGAGGTTGGACAGGTGACCCTACTCCTTGTTACATAAGAGCAGGAATCGAAAAACAGCCATTTGACTCAAAATAAATGACACCAAATGCACAATAATTTCCTTATGAGCGAAAAAAATAGTGATGTTATATCAACTGTCTAGTCGTTAGGAAGAGACGGAAATTTGATGTCCCCTGTACACACTTTGGCGTGCACGCAGAATAACCTTTAAAAGTTGGAATTTGAAATGAGAGTTGAGCATAGCGCCGTTATCGGGACAAAATGTCCTCCATAGCAAACTGTATGGCGTATGTTAGTTTTCATTAACACCGTTGTATTTCATTTTGTATATCCAGTATTTTAGGAAGTGTTTTGTTTAATATACACTTGATGAACTTGATAATCGAATTAATTCTCATAAACAAAGTTTTAACATTGAGTTAGATATAAATTATCAATCAAACTCTCTTGTTAAATTTACAAACACGTGTTTAATTTCGACAGTGAGTACATATATCATGCAGTGTTCTATGAGTACATATATCATGCAGTGTTCTATGCGTACATATATCATGCAATGTTCTATGAGGGGAATTTTGTCCGGATGGTGGTGTTTCATACCATCCGGACAAATAGACACTGTTCCTCCGTCTTGCACCATTCCGATCAACACCGGCATCGAACTCATGACCCCCTGGTTATAGTAGTGCAACACGAGTTAGTGGAGTAAAACCCCAACCCTAACCCTGGGGATACCGAGGACGTATCTTGCACCAGTGGCACGAGGAAATCCCGTGGAGCCGCAATCGAACCTGCAGATAAAGCGATTGCTGAGATATAACTGTATTTGTGTCGACAGTTGAAACACAAAACGTAACCTAGACCCATACCACCCAAATCTACCCATATTACCTAAGTCTACCCATGTCACACAATACTACCCATATTACCCAAGTCTACCCATATCAACCAAATCTACTCATACCACCCAGATGTTGCACATACAGGACTACTGAATTGATTTAAATTGATACAAAAGGGTGTGAGTAGGGAATTATTTTGATTGAAATACGAAAGAGTGTGCGAGATACTCCCACAACAGCAGACGTCATGCTAGTGGCGCCTGTAGGATTTCTGAAAGGGGTGGGGCGGGAAAATATAGAAATAATTCCAGTTGATATAAAGTTTCTGACAGAGATTTATTTAGAGTAAAATCCCTTAAAACATCACGCGTCATTTTACAATTTAATATGGTATCAAAGAAACCTATTCTTATTACATAATGATGATACGTGTACGCCTATTAAACAATACCTTACTTCTCTCTAAGGAAAACAGTTAATGCTTTCTATTCGTTGTACGTGTGTGTAGAAATGATAAGGTTTAACAAGACCTCTCAATAATATCTTTAAATACTCCATCTTTCAGTCTGAACATTTTCTGTAAGTAGATTACTCGATAAGGTTAAAACTTCAAACAAATATTTTACTCCAGGTTAAACTTGCTAATAAATTATTTTACTGAAAGATTTTATGATAGAGGCGTCTTGTGAAGCTGTGGGTGTTTTTTTGTGTAGTAAGATAAGAGAATGTATTTTTTGTTATTAAAGATTAGACGGTGAACGGGTTTTTCTATAGAACGATACAAGACTTGTATACAGCAGGAAGATAATTGAGACAGCAGCTTGTCTGTATATTAAAAGGTATATCAACATTAGGTTAGTGATGTGTACTTCCCATATATACGACAAGTGGTATGAGGGTGGTATTAGTGACGTGTACTGCCCATATATACGAGAAGTGGTATCAGGATGTTATTAGGATGTAACGTATTGGGAAACTATTTAAAATATAAGAAGTGGTACAAGGGTGTTATTACAGATTTAAAGTTTTACAGTGGATTTGAAAGCGTGTAAAACGTTTTAAAATATTATAAGTTGGAAGTGGTATGAGGGTGTTATTGAAGATATATAAAGTGTTTATAGTGAAACCTGTCAACTATGTAAAATATTATAAGTTAGAAGTGGTATGAGGGTGTTATTAAAGATATATAAAGTGTTTATAGTCAACTATGTAAAATATTATAAATGTTTAACTAATGTTTTAAACAAGTTGTGTAACATTATAAATAGATACAAGTACTAGCCTATGAAGTTGATTGAAGGCTGGTTAATTTTATAGAAGTAATTAAGGCGTGTTATAAACAACATTTAATTAGGTAAGTTGAATTATGTTATTTTTAAATTTCTGGACCAAATGATACTCATCTACGTGTTCTTTTTGTGGGCAACGCGAAGTGGTCCCCCCACCCCTGTCAGTGATGAAGGACGGAGGGGGTGACATGGAACAATATAGGACGAACAACCGGGGTACCGTGTACACATTGGCATGTTGGAATTCCATATAAGAGTAGTATTCCGTATACACGTCTTCAATAACAGTGGGGGAGGAGGGGTAGCGAGTGCGCGCTGTATCATAAGTCTGTCATTGAGTCAACTGGCGTGGTTTTGATTCCCCCTAAATGACCTAGATTGTGTCGAGTGGACGTTAGACAGTTACGTGGACTGTGGCATAGACATTGATATACACAGTGACATAGACATTGATATACACAGTGACATAGAAATTGATATACACAGTGACATAGACATTGATATACACAGTGACATAGACCGTGACTGTGACAGAGGCAGTGACATAGATAGAGATACAAAAAGAAAGTCTAACAGTGGTCCCGACAGTTACCTAGACAGTAATCTAGTTAAAAATCTAGACAGCGACCCCGAATGTCGAGAGATCCAGACAGTGATAGACGATGGCCTCTAATGTAGACAAATTCTATTAGAGGTTAAGATGTAGAGTGTAGCCGCCCTGGCTAAATTGTATGGATTACTGGACAATAGATCTACAATCAACAGGAAATTATAATTCCTTTTTCTTGATAATCTACTGTACGGTAAATTTGGTGTTGTGGCAGGGTTTATTGGTGAGAGTGACAATAAATATTGAATTCAATACAAACCAAATGTAATCAGTGAAATCGGACGTGTTTCACTCGATTTGTGATTTAGAACCTAATCTAAATATTCCTCTTTCTGCTCAATTACATGAAATAATGATGGCATCATATTCCATATTACACTAGAATTGGGTCATCATGCCTTGGTTAACATGACCAGGGTAAGTGACGTAGGTAGAATTATCAGAGATTGATTTACAAAATAAAGATGAATTATGTAAGAGCTAAATCTGATTTTAATTGATCGAAACACGATCGATAATATAATTTAAAAATTAATAATATAATTTAAAACTTGATAATCGAGACTTATTATCGTAATAATGAAACTCGAGACTCAACTTTAAACACAGATTTCGTGGCTAAGAATAAAGTAATGTGACAGTATTTTTCAAAGTATTTTGTCATTTTTCATAATCTAGGTCTGAAATATTATACCAATAACCCTCGGCTCTTTATTTAAATCTTAAATAATGCATTTTTAATAAACAAACAAAGTTGTGGTTTACAAGATACCACCATCTTCCCGCAACCGAGAAGCGTGATACGATTACAAGATACCGCCATCTTCACGCAACCGAGAAGCGTGATACGATTACAAGATACCGCCATCTTCACGCAACCGAGAAGCGTGATACGATTACAAGATACCGCCATTCTCCCGCAACCGATACGATTACAAGATACCGTCATCTTGAAGCCTCCGAGAAGCGCGATACATCTTTGAGATTATCGGATATACGGTGAAATGACATCATTACGATGTGTTTTGACTGTGACAACCGTGTGATGTAGCTGACGTTCAGTAGTTGTATAATTGACTGTAGAACAAACACTTAACTACTTAACCGACATTTTACTAGAAAACACTATAAGTATTCTTAGTACTCTGTTTCTAGTTAATGTAATTGTAAAGGTTTATTTAGTCTTTGTGTGTGTGACAGAGTGGAACTTTATTACAAATTCAAAGATTTATCTCCAGAGTTTTATTCTCCAGGTAGATAGTTCTCTATGGCCATTTAGGTCAGAGATTTATTCTCCAGGTAAATAGTTCTCTATGGCCATTTAGGTCAGAGATTTATTCTCCAGGTAGATAGTACTCTGTGTGAAGAATGTAGGGTATTGGGGTGCCTCTACACAACCCAACATACACAATGTGATATCTTCCTCCTTTACTATAACTGTGTGTGAAATTGCAGGAAGCTGGGTTTCCGCCTAGTTTAGGGTCAGAGGTCATATGTTTAGTTTACGTGTACGCTAGTCTATACACCGATCGACAGTCGTTTTTGTCCGATCCCCACAACTAGACACACTGTCGCCCGTTGGTGTCTCTCTTGAAAGAGAACAATCGGATTTTATAGTTAGGTAGGCAATTAGCATTTGACGTGCACATGGGTAAGAACACGAGTTAACCGATATTTTCGACCCATCCAAACAACAATACACACTTATATTGCCAGGTCAGTAGGCACATCCTTGATAACTGAAGACCGATATAGGAGACAGTTCAGTATACACACAGCTTGACCGCGGTTTGTCGGACTATCCCAACAAGAGCACATTTATATTGCTGGGCCAGTAGACCGGGATATTCTAGTCGGCAGTCCAGTGCCACGTCATCTCTTCTAATGGTCATATAATAATATTAATCATCAAGTTTTTACCACCGAACTATTACATTATAATAATATTGATCATCAAGTTATAACCACTGAACTATCACATTATAATAATATTGATCATCAGATTATTGTCTTCGTGTTAAAACATCTAATGGATGTGGAGACCGTCATTACTGTTAATTTACTCAATACAATATGATGTTTTAACATGTTAATTAACCCAATACAATAGGATGTTTTAACATTTTAATTAAATGGGATAAGATGGTGGTTTTTAAATACCGATAAAACGAGATTCTTTAATAGAAAATTATTTAGATTTTTGAATCTTTACACTACGTGACGGACGGTGATGTGATGAATCTGGAAAGTCACGCAAATGACAGCTGTAAATAGGACCACAGTTAGAAACGGATCAAGTATCCTCCTCGTTTTTTCCAAGCCATCGACTCCATGATAGAATCAATTAAATAGCATTCCGATCAATAGAAACCTCAGAGACAAACCGTTACATCGGTTAAAAGGATTAAATACATGAAATGACAACTAACCATTTAAATAAAATCCAGAATTCGATGTTGATCAATTCGTGAGTCGGTTGAACACTTGTTCACACGTTCTACTTGTACCCCGGGTCTGTTTAACTTGTTTGCGCGTACAGCGCTCAACCCTGCTTCAATATCAATTTGGATTTTGTTGAAATTGACATGTGTAAATGTTTGAATAATTCCGAATTATCATATTTTTTGATTAAGATACTAAGTGGATTTGTAGACTTCTACATTTATATCGATGGATTTTTTAAAAGTTTAACTTTGTAAATCACTCAGGTTTTCAATTTAACACGAGTATTATGAATTGGATTCAATCACCCAAGTTGTAAAACTTTATGAATGTTCTCTGAATTGTCATAGATGTTTGTATAGTTTACATGATCAGCGAATTCTTGACATTGTTTGAATATTGTCTCCATTTTCACAACCTGGTTACGATTTAGTTACGGATGCACAGAATTGTTTTATGGATGTTTCAATTTATTCAGAAATGAAATGGGGTTTAACGTCCTACTTTTCTACACCTATGGGAATAATGAAGATGGATAATGTATTCAGATTGATTCTGGTTTAAATGTTTAACGTAGGATTTCACCACGGCAGCGTCAAGTTAAAGAACATTCTGAATATTGATATTGTGATTTTTAGCACAAATTTTCAATTCATCCAATCTTAGTCAATAGATAGGGGATTGTTTACGTAGACTAAAGATAGGGGTTTGTTTACATAGACTAAAGATAAGGTCTTGTTTACATAGACTAAAGATAAGGTCTTGTTTACGTAGACTAAAGATAGGGGTTTGTTTACATAGACTAAAGATAGGGTCTTGTTTACATATACTAAAGATAGGATCTTTTTTACGTAGACTAAAGATAGGGGTTTGTTTACATGGACTAAAGATAGGGGTTTGTTTACATGGACTAAAGATAGGGTCTTGTTTACGTAGACTAAAGATAGGGGTTTGTTTACATAGACTAAAGATAAGGTCGTGTTTACATGGACTAAAGATAGAGTCTTGTTTACATAGACTAAAGATAGGGGTTTGTTTACATGGACTAAAGATAAGATCTTGTTTACGTAGACTAAAGATACGGGTTTGTTTACTAAAGCTGAGGTCTTGTTTACGTCGATCTGCGTTATAACACTAATGGCTATGGTAAAAGTTGTCTAACTATGACGTATATCAATGTTATTATGATTCTGTTATAGATTATGTTTTAAGGTTTATATATAAATCAATGTATATATAAATCAATGTTTACCTGGATACACCTAGAAACTGTTAGATATACCTTATATAGAAGGTATTAGACTTACCTGTGAGACGTGTCGTGTAATAGGCCTATCTTTGATCAGAGTGAAGAATAACCGTGTCACTACAGGCCTTTCTTCTGATCCACTGTGATCTCATTATAAACGGCGAAGATAGCTGACAGCAAGTCATCAAAAACCATGGTAACGTATAATATATATATATTTCTTGGTGCCAATAATAAACAGACAAAAACAGTTTTATGATAAATATTAAAACAATCTTTGTTCATTAGGCTGCCATGTCTTGTGTGTGTCAGCTATAGTAGAGTTCCGTGTCTCTTGGTTTCTAGTCAATCCCAAGACATCCGTCTTTTATCTCGTTCGTCTGATAGTACACGATTATTATGTGATCTCATTATATCAGGAATCGTACACCAGTTCCTTTTTATATTAGACGATATTAGAACGGCGATTAGAGAATAAGGTATATAGCAGCTCCTTTTTATATTAGACGATAGTAGGACGGAGATTAGAGGATAAGGTATATAGCAGCTCCTTTTTATATTAGACCATAGTAGGACGGAGATTAGAGGATAAGGTATATAGCAGCTCCTTTTTATATTAGACCATAGTAGGACGGAGATTAGAGGATAAGGTATATAGCAGCTCCTTTTTATATTAGACCATAGTAGGACGGAGATTAGAGAATAAGCCGTCCAGCATGTTAAGAGGGAATTAATTATTATTAGGTTGTGAAACGTTTTATATTCGTATAATTTCAGGTATATAGCTGATGTAAATAATGTTTATAGTGAATTAATTATTAGTTGTTTGTGAAATGATCTTTTTTCTCTGATTTTATACGGAATTAATCATTACGAATTTGTGAAATGATCGTGTTAATTTACGAGATTTTCAGGACTAATTATTAGAAGTTTGTGAATTCTTTTTAATTCTGAGATTTTCAGGTGTAAACTGGGTCGTGTAGAAATTAAGAAGTGTCACGATGGAATGGGTGTCGTCTAGCTTTATGTGGAATTAATTATTAGTAGTAGTATACCTGGTTTTAAAATGGAAGTTGGGACGGGTAACTATTGAAAGGTTACTTTCGCCATGGCAGTGAACAGATTTGATTATCCATCTATTGGATCATTCCGTTTAAACAGTGCTATATGTATTATATAATATGTCCCATGGTTCGTGTAGCGTTGTAATGTAGTGGTAGTTGTGTTGCCTACTTTCGGACCAGGAACATTAATTCAAGCTCTGTATTGAAGTGGTAGTTCTTGCCCCTTGTCGGACCAGGACGATTCCTCCAAGTTCTACTCATCTTGTTCGCTTTGTTCTTGTTAGAAGAGATGCTCTTCAGAAAACAACCCATATGACCAATAATTGACATGAAATATGGCATGCCTGTTCCCTATACAACTGCACAAATATGGCATGCCTGTTCCCTATACAACTGGGCATATAAGTTACTGGTATTCGTACTGAACATCCCAATCCTGGCCTTGATGTAAAATAAATTGTCAGGGTAACGCATGCGGTGCTAAAAAGGAAAGTGTGGCTTAGTCGTTTTAGTGGACTGCTGAGGCGGAACCGTTTTCTCCCTAGGTAGTAATATGATAGTCTAACAATAAACCGGGCTTTCTCTGCCGTATTCATTGTTTAGGATCAATTTTTATCCTTTGTAATTTGTAATTTACTGTAGAGATTTAATATAACACCCGTGTCATGACTCTATACATTTATAAATCTTTGTTTGGTTATTATAATTTATATTTCAGGTCACGGAAGGGTTGTTGTTGTGTATTTCATACTATGTACGGGTTGTGTATTTCTGACTATGTTCAGGTTGTTATTGTTTATTTCAGACTATGTACAGGTTGCTGTGTATTTCATACTACGTACGGGCTTTGTGTATTTCAGACTATGTACAGGTTGTTGTTGTTTATTTCAGACGATGTACGGGTTATTGTTTGAGAGTATCCAGCACTATATTAAAGAAGATTATGGTGAAGAAGAATGGTTGAAGATATTAGAAGATGCTGGTTTAAAGAATATGGTGTTCACCACACATAATGTCTATAAAGATCAGATTATGTTAAATCTAGCATCTAGTTGTAGCAACATCCTCAAGGACAGAACTATGGATGGATTCCTGGGTAAGTTAAAATAACACCAATGTGTACAAGGAACCTCGGTTTTTTTGTCCCATCCAAACGACTAATTCTTCCCAAATAACGGCCGACACCAGAATTGAAGTAACGTCTTACTTTGCCAGGGCAACTTTGGCGGAATATAGCTCGGTTGATGCTAAAGTGTCATAAAACCAAATTTTATTTTGCCAGGACAGCGACATTTCTCTTACGTGCATGATCTCGGGTTTTCATCCATTCCGAACAACTAGACACCTGCCAGGCATTCCATCCTGTATCATTGTCTGGCACTTTTGAATATTGTCTGTTGATTTCTGTTGATTTCTGTTCTTTTCAAGCTTTTTGTGGAATGTGTTTTATCAATTTCTGTCCAGGACATGACCCTATATTATTTCTCATTTCAGTAGTTAACAAAGCTGATAAAATATTATTGTACTTTTATATTCCAAATATTGATTTAGAATTTCTGCTCATTCCAGGTTACTTTGGAACTTGTTTTGTCAATTTCTGTGCTGGATATGGTTATGATAAAATATTACGCGTGGCTGGTCGCCATTATCGGGATTTCCTCAACGGAATAGACAACCTCCACGAGACTATACGCTTCAGTTACCCCAGATTGAAAAGTCCGTCATTCATCGTGGAGACCGAGGACGCATATGGTTGTGTTTTAGTTTATAGGTCTATACGTCACGGATTTAGTTCTTACGTCATTGGACAATTACGCCAATGTGCAAAACAGTTTTATAATGTCGACGTGGAGGTCCGAATACTGGAACAGCTAGAACAAAATGGCCGCTATCATACCACCTTCCGGTTAAACTTTCATAACAAGGGATTTAAACCGGAAAACGAAAAGAAGGCAGCAATAAGCGAAGAGTTTAGAACTATTAGTGGTGCTACATTTTTTAAGGTAAGTCAAATCATCAGCAATATACACGGCCCAAATATGTATGGCCTCGATGTTTGCGGTCATTCGGCTGTATTTGAAATATGCCTAGATGCTTACTGTCATTCGGCTGTATTTGAATTAGGTCTAGATGCTTGCTATCATTCGGCTGTATTTGAAATAGGTCTAGATGCAAGCTATCATTTGGCTGTATTTGAAATAAGCCTAGATGGTTGCTGTCATTTGTCTGTATTTGAAGTGAATAAAATAGGGTTTGATGACTTCTATATCCCGGTTGGGACCGAAAAGTAGGACGTAAAACCCAATCTGATGCCTTCTTTATCCCGGTTGTCACAGAAAAGTAGGACGTAAAACCCCATCTGATGCCTTCTTTATCCCGGTTGTCACAGAAAAGTAGGACATAAAACCCCATCTGATGTCTTTGGTATTATGTTGATAGCTTTAAAATGACAAGACCTAACTGATTTGCGTTTTAAAAAAATAAAAGTTTTTCCTTTGATTAAATTTGTTTTGTGTAGTGGACATCTGTCTATATTTAAAAGTTTATGTTCGCAGACTGAACCAATTTGTAGAAGCTAAATGGTTTAAAACTAGATCCAATATTGGCCTGTATATTTATCATGTCCATCGAGATTGTTTTTATTACCATGTTTTCATTGTTCTATGTCACTTGATCTTCAAAGAGAATCAGAAATGTCGGGTTTATTGATTTCCCGTCACAGAACATTATGATATTTATGTAGAAGGGGCGGACCCAAGATAAGTTGGGTTGTCTGGTTTAGTGTCTTAACCTAGTTGGGAGTTGAGATGATCAGGATGATCAGGTGGTCTGGGTGTTGCGGTTCGAGCTCAAGCCGTTCGGTCTCCTCTAGCTGGCGGTCGTGGTTTTCATCCCTGAGACGGGGACGCCTTCTCGACTTCGTGGGTTTACTCCGGTGGAATCGGACGTTGAACCCCGTGAATACAACTAAGAAACGTAGAGCGATGTGGGTGGATGTCCTAAACCATTCAAGTGTTGCTGGATCAGTCCAGTCGAAACGTTATTCAAGATGAGTTGCTATAGCAATTATTATAATATATGGTCGTATCCTAATCCGAATTTATTTGATAAAGTTACAAAGTTAAAACAATTAAACTTGTTGGATATTGCATAGTGATGTAATTCTTTATCACTACGAGGTTGTGTAGGATTGAGATATTACAGTTGTGTATCATGCATGATATTTACCATGACAACAAACGGGACGTTGTAGACTTTAAAAATAGTCCATCGACATTTGTTAGTTCGTCATGTCCATTTGATCTTCAGTATGAGCAGATCCCAGATATAGACTTTATTAACCCAGCAATGTTTATTTTGAAAATTACTCCGTCGAAACGTAATATATTGGTCTTTAATTTGCGCAATATAGAGTTTATTACCAAGCAATATTTTGTTTTCAAGTTAATTTAAAAACACAATGAAATATAATGACCATGACAAGTATGTATGCTCGTAATAACAACCAGACAAACGTTGCTCGTACAGGATCAATTTGACAACGTAGTTTGGTGTGCCTTTTCCTGATTACTCCCCGAGTACAAAAATTATGGATCCGTGTTTGACCTAAGTAGTCTGGTTTGCACTATAAAGCGTGGATATAGAGCAATGAATCTATTAGCCGGATTATATTGTAAGGGTGGGTTAATTATATCTTGTCTCGTGTTAGCTGGACGGTGTAAGTTATAAACTACTGGTTATATGAGATACACCAGGGATAAACACTGGTCATTATACTAGTAATACAACACGTGCTTTATATCACTGATAGACAAAGTAATACGTCATTTATAGACAAGGTTTTTAACCTCTTGTTACTTTCTTACTGTCTTTCACTTGTTTTTGTTCATAGAACTGAAAGAAATGGTTTTTAACCTCTTGTTACTTTGTTACTGACTTTCACTTGTTTTTGTTTTTGTGGTTGTGATCCCTGATGGGGGATATGATCACCTGTCAAACCTCTTACTTTTTTCCAGGTTCCTCGGCTCCCTCCTAATGCTAAAGACCGGAATGAGCAATCCAAATATTGAAATAAATGTGTACCATATCTTAGTCTCAATATAACCTGCTGTGTCTTTCTTCTCTGTTTTACGTACACTGGATCTCCGTTTTTCGTCCCATCTGAACGACTATATGTTGACCTATGACCCTCTGTCCTGCACCACTAACAAGGGGAACATCACCGGAAAATCCGGGTCCACCGCGGCTTTAGTTTAGGTTCGCGCATCACGGTGAAATATACCGTTTTAACCTCGTGCTAATCTGTGTAAAGATTCGATAGATCGTTAAACCCAAACCATTGTACTCCACTCCTATCAAAGGCTATTAAATTCAATTATTTACATTTCCAATAAGTCTGAAGTACAGGCGATGGGATTTGACTTCGTTTATTTAAACAATCAAACGTCGATCGCTGGGTAATATTTCGACTTCGTATCCAACGTCTAAAGTACACACTGTTCAGATTAAATAGGAAATTTACGTCGGTGTTACGAATGTAATATCGATTCCAGCCTGTCTGGGAAAAAATAATTACACTTGTAAATACACAGAATGTGTTAAAATTCAAATAATTTAATCACATATATAAAGCTGCAGGGGCATTAATCAATCCAAACGGAAATGATGAAATAGATGTCCCACATGAAAGGTTTATCGATAATCCGCCTCTGCATCCGCGGTAAAAGGAAAATGACGAGAACTGTACTAGATCTTGACTTCTATCTAGAATTAGATAATTCTAAAATCAGGAGGTTTTTATGAGCATGCCGATTGAGACAGGAGGTTAAGATACGACACGGTTTCATTGTAATCACTGAAAAGTAGTAGTAGTAGTTCTTGGTGTTTAACGTCTGCTTCCACATAATTGATATCTCAGACAAAATCACTGAAAATCGATTGGCGTGTTTTTATGAGCCGAGTTTTAAAGAGGCTAGACAGAATGCCGATTGAGACACTTGTGCCATTATTGAGTCATTAATTAAAATTATTGATTTGTTTTATAATCTTTGTTTAATCATACTCCTCAGATAGAGTTAATCTGCTCTTCTGAACACAGGTGTCTGACACGATAACCACGACTCATACTCCTCAGATAGGGTTAATCTGCTCTTCTGAACACAGGTGGCTGACACGATAACCACGACTCATACTCCTCAGATAGAGTTAATCTGCCCTTCTGATCACATGATTTAAGTTGGCTGATACCTTTGTATAACGTACATATATTACTTGGACCAAAGCAGAGTTTTTTTTGGGTTGTCATGGAAAATGAACAAAAATAAATAAGAAAGTTGTATAGCAGAAGAGAAATTGGGTTTAACGTCCTACTTTACTACACAAGACGAACACAGGCCTTGTTGTCTGCTATGAGGGAAATATGTCTGAAAAGCGGCGCTACGACCTACTTTTATTTCAAATTCCAAATGTCAGGGTTTTTGTTACATGCTCGCCAACGGGTACACGAATCTAGGTTTTCCGTCCCATCTGGAGAACTAGACATTGTCTCTTGCCCGATTCTATTTCATGCAATACTGACAAGGTGGGACAGACCCACCGCGTCTCTTGTAATATAGCACACATGGACATTTATATACATATAGTGAATTTGAAACTATCGCTGTTAATTTTGTTGTACATGCTGTCATGACACTCGAATGTTGTGGACCTACAGTTTTAAATTGCTATCTCGAATTTAAACACACCCTGTCCATAAACGTATATTATCTTTAGTTTCATAATGTGATATGATGCAAAGAGTTTGATACGGATGAATTATTAACTTACAGTTAGTAAACCTTTTGGTCCAGGGCCGTAATATCTTCAGTCTGCGATAAATTATACAGTCCGAGGGTTGTCGCTACTCTATCAGTATAATTGTTCTCCTAAATCTCACATTTAATATTTAACACGGTTACGTGCCTTTTGTCAATTTCCAGGGAAACTGTATAAATGACATTCTTTAAGTGGCAATTAGTACCACATACTTATGGCAAACAGCTACTGGTTTATTTTGGCGACGTTTCGAAGAGTATTCGCTCAATGTTTTAGCTTGAGTTGTTAAGGCAACCGAGTTTCTGGATGTGGTTTGAATGAGATTTTGTGAATATTGTTCATATTTCACATTTTTAAAACTGATCAACATCCCAGAATAATAAAAGGATTGTTTTGTACTTTTTCATTTTCAGTTGTTTCCATTTTGTATTGTGTTTGACAACACAATGACAATCCGCCATGTTGGTGAAAGTTTAGCCACTATGATGGGAGAGGTCAAGGACACTAAAATCACAGATAAATTCAATCTACGGAGACCTCTCGTGGAGTTCACGTGGGATATCGTAAGTATTAGTAATACAAAGTGAGGCCCGTCCCTAACAACCGACCGTGGTCTGGCAGCCATGATGACGTCACACCGGTTGACTAATAGTAAGTACAGGAGAAACCACACAACAGGCTAAATCGATAAGACAAACCTGTGGACAACCACACCTGCAGACAAGACAAACATGCGGACAAGACAAACATGTGGACACGACAAACCTGTGGACAGGACAAGCTACACAGACAAAGGTAGCAATAAACAATAAATATATCAAATCATGTGAATTGATCCGAGGGGGGGGGGGGCGTACGTGTCTACACGTCATTATTATTATAGTAAATTTTACACTAATATTAAAGAGATTTCTCATTTAGCCTCGATTGTTTCACTCCGAATATGGTCACAGATCAACACAGATTTTATAATGTTTTTATTGTCTTTTTATCAATTTCAGATTCTGAGTTTTCAAACTGTTATATTTGAATTAGAAGCTTGTAGATATATTGATGGTTCTTCCAAATTAAGTGCTTCCAAAAAATGTACACATTACAAAAAACTACTACTGAAAGGACAACTAAAATATCTTCCAGATTGGAAAATGGTTGCATTTCTCTGTACGCCATTGTAAGTTCTTATGACATTTCTTTGTACGCAATTGCATGGTGTATTTAACAAATACATTAAACGACAAACTTGGCGATATTTTATTTACCTAAACAGAAATCAGACGATTTTTGAAATGGTATGTCAAATTATTTTTTGTCTATAAAATAAAAAATCAAATGAATTGTACATCATACCAGAGACAAACTTGTGTTTTGAAAAACCGAATTAACTCTGTCATGTGTGGGATCCAAAACCCTAATTACTCCTGCCTATATAGGAGGCATGAAGTTAATAACGTATCAAACTACATGTCAGGCGAATCTAAGAATCGACTTCTATTTCAAGTAACTGTCACCCTGAGGCCAGCGTCACTCTCTTGAGATGTAAACGTTGTTAACTGGTTTCTAAAAAAAAACCTGAGAATCGAAATTTGGTGACTACTACAAATCTTTAACTGGTGAATACCATCAACGATTTGAGTTAATTGTTAGCTGGTGAATACCATCAACGATTTGAGTTATGTGTTAAAATATACAGATTAATACCAGGTGGACCAACCTAACACAGCAGAATGAAATAGGGTTTAACATCCTGGGTTTCCGCTCCACCCGGGGTAATGCAGACAGAAAGCAGATCACCACACTACATGTATTTATTTATATGGGATGTTAATAAGACAAGTCTAGATGGTTAAAATATTAAACCACGTGTCAATATGTCAAACTTAACGTTAGTCAATTTAGAGTTAAGTGGCGTATTACCTAAAGATAGTTTCAATAAGTAATTTAATAATTTTAGTTCAAATACACAGGCTAGAATTCTATAGAATATAATAACGTTTTATTACTGAACGATGTTTCTACTAACGGTTTATTACTGGACGATGATTCTGTTAGACTATATACTGGGACAATATAAACATGTAAATACCACTTCTACAATTTAATTAATCCATCTTCATGGTAATTAGTAGATCTCCCGTTTAGTCTCAAATATTATATAAATCATTAATTAGACATTTATTCACATGTCAAACCCATAATCAACTCTCTAGAGCATCCTGTGTAATAAGATATTTATATTTGTCAGAATAACTGATTTAGAAGATATGCAGAAAACTGGTTTATTTATGAATGATCTGAATATGTATGATAATAGTCAAGAAATGGTTTTATGTGGCTGGCATAATGCTTCACAACTCGAACATCGTGTTGATCAGGTAGGGTATTAACATCCTGACACAGAGATAGAGAGATTACTATTGTCAGTGACCTTTAAATTTATTGATATGGGTTAATCACATGGTGATAAAAATATCAGATCGATCCAGGAGATCTCGTGATTTTGACTCTGATCGGAGCTCTCGAGGTCGTTTCCAATGTTGGCTGAGAAAGTACAGACAGATCTGAGAAGGATATCGTTTAGTCCTTCGGTTGGTGCAAAAAACGCAGAACTCGTATTCAGATTGACATGTACCGGGTTTATGAAAAAGAACCCCTGGCAGCAGGAATTCGATATAAGAGTAGGTCGTAGACCCCGCTGTCCGGGTACAATTTCTCTTATAGTACACTGTATGGTGTATGCCTGTCTTCATTAGCCCAGCCAAACCACATGTTATTTCTGACTCCATGGTGCAGTGTATTAAACAATTACATGTTATTTCATATTACAGCAAGTGGAAGCCAGTCGTCAAATTGCCGAGAATCTACAGAAACTAGATCAATGGCGACGTAAGGGTGATACATTACTTTATTCTATGATGCCAAGAAGTATTGCTATACGATTAAAAAATGGTGAAGATCCTATCAACACTTGTGAGGTAAATACATCTCTAAACACGTGATCTTATAGCCTTGCTCTAATCTTAACATACTGTCAACACGTGCCACGCAATTGTTACCCCTCGGGCGCAATATGATACTAAAACAGGCGAACTTCAATAAAAGACAATTTCCGGTAGACATGTGCAACATAATACTAGTTTTATAGGAATAGTATTAACGTTGAATGCAGCCTCTAAAGATTTTAAGACCTGAAATTTGTGATTGATTGGCGACATTTATTCCTATCACGTGATAAATATATCGACTGGTTATGGCGTGTAACGGATGTGCACCATTACAATGTCACATGGTATAAAAATAATGGTGAAAACATCTATAAAACAGAAACACACATTAACTAAATGTACATAATCAATCAAATGCCCATTTTACGATGCTGGAATTTCCGGTTCGCGTCCGTTCCGTGCGCATGAAATTCCGTCACTTTGTTTCGTAGTTGTCATGTGTTTCAAATAATGAAATAAAAACCTAAACAACATTTTCTTTCACACTAAAAATATAATACATTTGGCGGATTTAGAAATTATTGTTAACCGAGTTCCTGCTGATTTCTTATTGCTTATACCTCCCATAAACTGAAAGTTCTATAATGTTATTCACCTCAATGTTTTGTTATTCAGTTGTTTGACAGTGTATCTGTGATGTTTTGTTATTCAGTTGTTTGACAGTGTATCTGTGATATTTTATATTTCAGTCGTTTGACAGTGTATCTGTGATGTTTTGTTATTCAGTTGTTTGACAGTGTATCTGTGTTGTTTTGTTATTCAGTTGTTTGACAGTGTATCTGTGATATTTTATATTTCAGTCGTTTGACAGTGTATCTGTAATGTTTTATATTTCAGTCGTTTGACAGTGTATCTGTGATGTTTTGTTATTTAGTCGGGTTTACGGAGATGTGTGCTCGAGCTTCCGCCCTACAGATTGTAGAATGTATCAACAATGTTTTTATATTCTTCGATGATATTGTAGATAGATATAAATTATTCAAGGTATTGTACACATATATATATATATATATATATATAAACTATTCAAGGTATTGTACAGAGCTATAGACGTTACAGATTTCAATTCTATCCCCTGTTTGATCCGACCCTGAATATTTGGTGTTCGATCTCTCGTATTGGGGACACTATTATATCCGGTGATTGACCGACCAACCTTCACCATATGATGCTAGCCCTACCAACAGTCCGAACCCATAATTGCAACCGGAGAAGAGGTACAACAACGGCAAAGCTGGAAACAGTCGGTGGTCATGATTCACCAACTTGGGTCTGAAACGCTCTTCAGTCTTATGTAATGTAACAAACTCATAAATATAGTTCCAATATTGAATGTGTTTATATTTAAGGTAGAGACAATTGGTGACGCTGTATACATGAATAAATATAGTTCCACTATTGAATGTGTTTATATTTAAGGTAGAGACGCTTGGTGACGCTGTTTACATGGTGGCGGGTGGTGTACCAGATCGACAACCTGATCATGCGCAAAGAGTGGCTAGATTGGCGCTAGAATTTCTAGAAAAGGCCCGAACATTGAAAGATCCGCTATCAGGAAATAATCTTAAAGCTAGAATAGGTAATGTAATCTTAAATCTAGAATAGGTAATGTAATCTTAAAGCTAGAATAGGTGATGTAATCTTAAAGCTAGAATAGGTAATGTAATCTTAAAGCTAGAATAGGTGATGTAATCTTAAAGCTAGAATAGGTAATGTAATCTTAAAGCTAGAATAGGTAATGTAATCTTAAAGCTAGAATGGGTAATGTAATCTAGATTAAAATCTAAAATAATCAGTATATTCAATGTACATGGAAATAGAGTCACGAGATGAATTTTCAACGGCCTATTCTTATTTTGATTTTACAACTGTCAAGGGTTCTTTTACATGCACGCCAATGTATACACGGGGCCACGGTTATTCATCCCATCTGAACAACTAGGCAGCTGTCCTGCTTATCGACCGGGAAAGACAGAAATCAACCAAGTTCATGTAATAAACAGTATCGACTCTTGTAATGTCCGTCCTTTTCATACAGTAATGGAACCTCTAAAGATTGTGACGCATGGGGTAAAAATGAATTTTTCTCGGAAGTTCGTCTGTTTATAGTGATTCCCCATCTCTCTTATCTCCCCTTTTGGCGTGCCATTTTTTGTTGATTTTGTGGTCTAGATTAGACGAAGAAGGTTTGAAATAACATTTTCTGCCAGATTTTGGTAAATATTCATGATTTAGAGGCTGAATGATATCAGAGTTAGCAGGTTGTTTGCGGTGATATGTACGACAAATAGTTACATATTTTTAGTATGCTAATTCATGTTTGTGTATCTCAAAATATTGGTGGTTAGCCCAATACGAATTTTGGTGCACGGTTATTTCCCTTTAACCAGGTAAACTATCAAGGGAGATAAACAGATAATACGGTGTTTTGTTTCTTACAGGTATGCATATAGGTAGCGTAGCATCAGGTTTAGTTGGTAGGAAAACACCTCAGTATTGTTTATTTGGTGATACTGTAAATACAGCTTCTAGGATGCAATCTTATAGTGAGGTATGTTTTATATAATAATATCTGGTCTACGTACACGCAAAACAAAATCTACAAGATAAACCTGCGGACAAGACAGATAACATAGACATTGCAAGAAATAAACAAATATCAAATCAAGTGAATGAATCAGGGAGCCAGTCGTAAGTGTCCACTGTGCTGTACAGTCTCGGGCCTGTAATGATACAGACTTCACGCAAAATTAAAAGACAACAGACTTAACATAATAATGCGACCGATCTTGACAATGGTCGTCTCTTCAATGGCGATAGTCAAACAATTTTAACAATAAGGGCGATAATCCAGATAGAATCTCGGAAAACCCTAAAATAATAAAGTGTGGTGAGCAAACAGGAGCAATTACCTTATGTTAGACTTTAACCTCAGTTCTTTCTATTTCCTGGTGTATTTTATAGGCAGGTAGAATCCACATCAGTCAACCATGTAAAGACAGTCTTGAAGAAAAGGGTTTTATTATAAAATACCGGGGATTTGTTCATGTTAAGGTAAGAATTTTCTTCATAATTCACTAACGAGCAACCAAGTTAGATTCTAATTGAAAAACGAGCATCTACATTAGATTTTAAACTACAACCGATTACCCAAGTTAGACTTTAATTGACAACTGAGTACCCAAGTTAGACTCTACATGATAAACAAGTACCCAAGTTAGACTGTAATTGATATTTGGTAGACTGGCGTTACAACCACCAATAGTTTAGCGGTATGGGTTATAACCACAAAGTTAAATAGAGGTAAACATGTATAGTGATCACCAGTTACCATACCCACACACGTTGATAGCCAGTGACCAATGTGGACGATCAACATCTTTTAAATAAACACCAGTCAAGTATTACACCTACCATATTTGGGTTGAAATTCACCAAACGGTTCAGTTAACAGACGGACAACAGATAGTCAAGTTCAGGGGAGTGAAACGTCAGACCATGGGTCGACCAACAGATTGGTTACATCATATTCATTGAATTCTCGTCTGCGGTGGTTCGCAGAGGAAGGGGTGTCCCTGATGGGGGGTTTCCCAGAAACATGTTCAAAGATTAGCAGAAAGGACTCGGAACACAATCAACAGACATAATCTCAGTATTGTTTAGAAAGATTGAATAGCTTTGAATGAATGAAAAGTAGAGATATTTTACAAGTTGTGAAAGTCTGTCGAATGTAGGTTGAAGGGTGTAGGAAGTTTGCAGGAACATATCCTTAAAGGGTTCAGGGTATTCGTCATTCAAATAACGTCCAACAAACGTACGAAGAATTCTCACCATTTTGGCTTCACTCAATTCTAATTATAAACATGCATGATGTCTAAATGAGCAGACATCTTGTCTCGAAGTTTTTAATTTTATAAAATTCTAGTAATCAACCAAACCTGGCGCCGGACATAACGTTGACCCCCCCTTCACCCCCGACAACCCTGACGCTGCTCACATTCCTGAACACGCACCTAATCTGTGTACTCTCTGCCACCACTACGTCATGACAGGACGTGTTACGAAAAAGATAATTAAAAAAAGGAAATACGAAATCACCTGCAATTATATAATGACATGAATTTATACATAAGAAACTCTTCTGTGACCAGAAATCATTTTCATATACTTTACCATTTTAGTAAAAACAAGAAAGTTCTCTACGAATAAATGTCGGTATATTCGTTCAGCAACACAACTGTTAAAATCAGTCATATCCCCCGATGAGGCCTTCTGCTTCCGCCATTAAGGCTACCCTCGGTTTGATCTTCATCTCCACGCGCTTCATCGAATACGCGAGGTTCTGTTTCCATTCGAACCACGTGATGCCAGTAATAACGCCATCTGGTGTAATATTCTGTTCTCCATTGGGATGAAATATTCCGTTGAGGGACGCGTAACTGCAGGCGTTGAACCACCAACCGGACCGATCTTTATGGGAGCAACTAGCGTACCATTTGTCGTGATCGCGATCCATGGTACTAAAAAACATATTATTGTGATAGGCGAGAGAATCTCCGGCCGTCCCCGAGAATCCATTGACCGTCAGCTTGTATTTATTCTCTTCACTCGCCACTTTAAAATAATCATACTGTGCCCATGCGTGCTGATCTTCCCAGTCCAGGAGGTCAATCCGTAGCGTGTAATTCGTGTTGCGCAACATGTAATATATATTCTCATTACCCAACCAAAACTCGGAATTCACGTTTCCGAATCCGAAAGCGTAGTCGTCCCATCCTCGTGTAAAGTTTACTGATCCGTCAAAACGTCGCTGAATGACCGTCCATCCACCACCCTGCATTTCCATGTCGCACCAAACGTTAACGACGTATCCACTGGGAAGTTTAAGAGGATAAACTCCACTAAGATTGAGACCACTCATTTTCAGTTCGTAACAATCTGAAACAAACAAATGACATCAAATAAAAAAAACAATGAAGTCTGTCATACACTACGCAGTGGGATAATGAAGTCTGTCATACACTATGCAGTAGGATAATGAAGTCTGTCATACACTATGCAGTGGGATAATGAAGTCTGTCATACACTATGCAGTGGGATAATGAAGTCTGTCATACACTATGCAGTGGGATAATGAAGTCTGTCATACACTATGCAGTAGGATAATGAAGTCTATCATATACTATACAGGGGATAATGAAGTCTATCATACGCTATGCCGTGGGTTGCCTACTCTTCCTCTGTATCCTAATGTCAAGGGGTTCTTTTACGTGCACTCCACCAACGAGTATATAGATGGACCTCGTTTTGTTTCGTACTTTCCGTAAGACTAGACGCTTTTTATAACTTTCTCTGTCAACACCGGGATCGAGCCCGGGACCTCTTTGTTGGTACGCGGCGCCAAATTCATTGAGCTGAGTTTGCTTCTCACCAACAAAGTATAAACTATGTCTTTGTTAGTCCTACTATTTATATACGGATTTCGACGATTTTAAATAACTTTTTAGGGACATTTCCCATTATTACGAACTTAGCACCGTCGAGGCATCAGTTCCGATCCAATCGTTCTGAAATTGTTTGTCTGTCCTATTGACAGGAAGAACCCTATTGATTTGTAAATCAAACGCATCTTTTACAATCAGTATGATTTAAGGTTGATTAATGGTTATTTGTTAAAAATGTTCAATAAAAGGTAAAACTTACTTCTTGCCACTGTTATATCTTTAAGAGCTGG